TATCCACCTCTGAATGCCTTCTTGTCTCCTCAATTCAATACCAATGATCTGAAACTAAAATTCACCCCTTAATGATACTACAATGATCTACTATACTAAGCAACTGCAATCTACAATATCAACATCCAATGAGACCAACATTAGTAACCAATTCCATAGTTTAGGCCATTTAGACAATTTACCAAACACCTAGTAGGCATACATTTATACATTTCTTAACCATAGAATTAGTTCTTCCAACTACCATCATTTACCAACAATTCATCCCACCATCATTCTTTAACAACTTATAATCCTAACATCACGTGTGTGACCAACCATTCTCACCCAACCAACAAAATTCCATCAAATAATCACCTTTCAATCTCTATAATGGTTATGTATTTAAATTGAGAATTTATGGCTTCCAATCACTATACCATAAGTTCCAATACTTGATTCATACTCATATTTCCATAATAAATCCATACATGTACACATAATACTCTCACGCCCAAGAATCATACTTCTTATGGCCTACTTTTAATCCAAATCCCGAAATTAAAAACTAGGGTATGGAACCTTACCTCTTTTATGAATATCTTGTGATTAACTTCCTTGATTCTTGAAGATTGGTGCAAGATTGGATGATTAGAATGTTAGGTTTACTTCTTCTCTCTCTAAAATGCTCTTACATCTCTCTAAAATATCAGGTTTTACCTCAAAAATGACTTAACCCCTCTCTCTACCCAGACTTGGGGTTATTTAATGGGTTCCTACGTGCGCGGCCGCGCACTTGGGCAAGTGGCCGTGCACCTGAGGCAGAAACTCTCAAATATGCGCGGCCGCGCATCTGGGCGCGCATATGACATAGGTCCAGTAATATAGCCTTAGATTTCTGTATGCATATCCAAATGATGAATGGTTTAATGATTTGGAAACTAGACTCCAAGGCTTTGATTTGATAGGTTATACACCATATAAATCTTCATACCTTGAGAGTTATGCTCATTTGAAGTTAGGTCTTGTGCGAACTCACTTGAAACTTTGTCCCATCATATAATTTTCAACTTGACTTAGCCTTAGGGCTTTTCTTAGACTATAAACCATTCTTAATGCACCTCATACATATATTATCATTATCAATTGATATAATTCAAATTATCAGTCTTGTTCATACCCAAATTAATATAATTAGTACCCGCCAATCTTCTTAATGGTCTTAAAATACTACAAAATTTTCTGAGGTATTACAGAATGAGTCCCATGCATTTTTGGAACTTATACAAGGGGATATTTGTGGAAATATTCACCCACCTAGTGGGTCGTTTAGATATTTTATGGTCTTAATAGATGTATCTTCTAGATGGTCTTATGTGTGCCTATTATCATCTCGCAACCTCGCATTTACAAAATTAATTCGATTGCTAGCACAATTTTTTGATAATCCAATTAAGTCTATTTGACTTGATAATGCTGCTGAGTTTTCATCCCAAGCATTTAATGATTATTGCTTATCAATTGGGATAAAAGTGAAACATCATGTAGCTCATGTTCACAATCAAAATGGCCTTGCAGAGTCTTTAATTAAATGTCTGCAATTGATAGCAAGACCGTTACTCATGAAAACGAGGTTGCCCACTTCTGTTTGGGGTCACGCCACTTTTCATGCAGTAATGCTAGTTCGTCTCAGACCGATAAATTATCATAAATATTCCCCGTTATAATTAGTTTTGGGTTATGAACCTAATATATCCCATTTAAGAATTTTTGGATGCGCAGTATATGTGCCTGTACCACAACCATATCGCACCAAGATGGGTCCCCAAAGAAGGTTAGGAATATACGTTGGGTTTGAATCACCCTCCATTATTCGCTACCTCGAAACATTAACAAGAGATTTTTTCACTGCTCGATTTGCAGATTGTCGATTCGATGAGACATTTTCCCCAAAATTTAGGGGGAGAAAATGGTGAAACCAAACGAGAAATTTTGTGAAAAAATCCATCATTATCTCATCTTGATCCACGTGCCTCTATTTGTGAAAAAGAGGTGTAAAAGATTATTTATTTGCAGAAAATAGCAAATTAAATGCTAGACGCATTTACGGATCTGAAAAGAATTACAAAATCACATATCCCTGTAGAGAATGTACCAATCCGTATTGATGTCCCTGTTGGACAATCTTCTAGTGTCATAGCTAATGAATCAAAAGCACGCCTAAAACGTGGCAGACCATTGGGTTCTAAGGATCGAAATCCAAGAAAAAGAAAAATAAATGATGAAGATGATACTACGAAAGAATCTCATAAAGAAACCCATGATTTAACCAACCTTGAGATTCATGAGGAAATCATTGAGCCTCAGACTCAGGAAAATAAGGAACTATCAATAAATCCAATCGATATGACAAATTTGAATCGATTGGATATAGTGGTGGATTATGTCTTTGCATATAATGTTGCATCTAGAATTATGCAAGATAGTGAGGATCTTGAACCTCAATTTGTTGGAGAATGTCGACAAAGACGTGATTGGCCAAAATGGCAAGAAGCAATCCAATCAAAGTTGAATTCTCTTGCAAAACGTGAAGTTTTTAGGCGTGTAATCCAAACACTTAATGGTGTTAAGCCTGTTGGATATAAATGGGTCTTTGTACTTAAAAGAAATAAGAAAAATGAGGTACAAAGATATAAGGCACGCCTTGTTGCATAAGAATTTTCATAAAGACCTGGTGTCCATTATGATTAGACGTATTCTTTTGTTATGGATGCTATAACGTTCTGTTATCTCATTAGTTTTGCTGTCCATGAAAAGCTTGACATGCATTTAATGGATGTGGTTGCCGCCTACCTTTATGGCTCACTTGATAATGAGATATACATAAAAATTTCCGAGGGATTTAAAATGCCCGACGCACATAATTCAAAGTCCCGAGAAATGCTTTCAATCAAATTGCAAATATCTTTGTATGGTCTAAAGCAATCAGGATGAATGTGGTATAACCGTTTTAGTGAATATTTATTAAAGGAAGGTTATATAAATGATACTATTTGTTGTGTTTTTATAAGGAAAACAATGTCGGAATTTGTTGTACTTGCCGTATATGTCGATGACATAAACCTTATTGGAACTCCTATAGAACTCCAAAAGGCAATTGATTATTTAAAGAAAGAATTTGAAATGAAAGATCTCAGAAAGACAAAATTATGTCTCGGTTTGCAAATTGAACATTTGGCAAATGAGATTTTTATTCATCAATTTGCCTACACAGAAAAGGTATTGAAACGGTTTTACATGGATAGAGCACATCCATTAAGTACTCCGATGGTTGTTCGATCACTTGATGTGAATAAAGATCCGTTCCGACCTCAAGAAAAGAATGAAGAGATACTTAGTCCTGAAGTATCATATCTTAGTGCAATTGGTGTACTAATGTATCTTGCTAATACAATAAGGCCTAGCATAACCTTTTAGTTAATATTTTAGCAAGATATAGCTCTGCTCCTACAAGAAAACATTGGAATGGAATCAAACACATATTGCGGTATCTAAAAGGGACTACTGATATAGGCTTATTTTATGAAAATAATTACAATCCCGATCTTGTTGGTTATGCCGATGCTGGATATTTATCTGACCCATACAAGGCTCGATCTCAAACAGGCTAAGTGTTTATATGTGGAGGCACTACCATATCTTGGCGATCAACTAAGCAATCAATCGTGGTTACTTCATCTAATCATGCTGAGATAATTGCTATTCATGAAACAAGTCGAGAATGTGTATGGTTGAGGTCTATAATACATCTTATTTGAGACAAATGTGGTTTGAAGTGTGATAAATCACCCACGATTTTGTATGAAGACAATGCAGCATGCATAGCCCAATTGAAGGGAGGATTCATAAAAGGAGATAGGACAATGCACATTTCACCAACGTTATTTTTCATACATGACCTTCAAAAGAATGGTGATATCAATGTGCAACAAATTCGTTTAAGTGATAATATGGCTGACTTGTTCACCAAATCTCTACCGACATCAATCTTTAAGAAGCTGGTGTACAAGATTGGGATGCAAAGGCTCAAGGATGTGAATTGATGCTCTCATCAAGGGGAGTTAATATGCGTTGCACTCTTTTTTCCTTATAAGGTTTTATCCCACTGGATTTTCCTTGCAAGGTTTTTAACGAGGCAATCAAAAGGCGTATTATTAAACATGTGTACTCTTTTTCTTTTACTAAATTTTTTTTTCACTGGGTTTTATTTTAGTTAAGATTTTAACGTGGCACATTGTTTATTGAATAGATATTCAAGGGGGAGTGTTATGAATAGAATTGTACTTAGAGTGAATGTCTATCTTTTAGAGAGTTTGTTACTTTGTGGCTAAGTCATTTTTTTCCTATAAATAGAGGGTCTTACCCCATTGTAATTCATCCCAAAGTTAATAAGAATCATCTCTCTCTTTTCTCTGCAATATTGTTCTTCTTCTTTTATTGTTTCATTTCATGTATCATGTTTTGAAGGATTTATTATTCATTTTTAGTATTATTTTAATTTATATATATGAGTATTGGGTCGGGTGGGCCAGGTCGGGTTGAGTCATTCCTATTTTAGTTGGATTATTATTTATTAGATTGAAAATAAAAAATAAAAACCCACAAAATAAGAAAATACTACTGAAAAATTATATTTTTCGATCACTATGATTTCTGTGTGAGTTAGTAAAAGTTTTATAATTTTTGTATGAGAAAATATAGTTATGTGACTTTGATAAAAAAAAGTCATAGTTATATGATTTTTATGTAAGAAAATAAAGTTATATGACTTTAGTGAAAAAAAGTCGTTTTACTCGAATTTTGTATTAAGTTAACCCCTACTATTTTGACTAAGTTACTAATTAATATTTATTATATAGATTAATCTGTTACCTCATAAATAAATATTTTTAACACCATTTAGTACAAAACGTAAACATCATATATGTACTGATAACTTAAACTTTCAATTGATGTGGCAGTTTTATCTGCTGTTGGAGGAATTAAAGAAGCAGCTCCCAAAGCCATGACCGAAGGTAACTTACATATATAGGCCGACGTGCCTTCTTATTTGACGCAGAAGCGGAGTCAGGATTTTAACCTTACGGGTTCTGGATACGATTTTAAGTGTTAGTAATTGGTTTTCTAAATTTAATTTTTGTACATATTTAATGAATTTTATACACCAAATACACTGTTTAAGCAAAAATTACTGGATTCGACCAAACCCGTATTTTGACTTGTGCCTCCGCCCTTGATTGATGACTTGATTCCATAAATTTTACCCGTTTGCTATATGTCGAAATATCTATAAATTTTAACTTGTCCTCTTAATTGGGCTAGCACCTAAAATCTTAAGTAAACTGTCGAATAGATGCATGACATGTGTTTGTACATAAGCTTGTTGCCTTTAATCATGATTATTTAATATTTATTCTCACATCACTAAGATCTTATTTTTTTTTTTTTAAGATTAAGACGTCTAAATCTGAATACACATCTGAATATCAAGATGTGTATTAAGATTAAGACATCTGAATCTGAATACACATATGAGTGTTAAGATGTGTATTAAGATCTGAATGCTAAATGGTTAAGATTGTTTGATTTTTTAATATCTGAATGTATAAAATTTACGTTTATTTGAAAATTAATAAACATAAAATTCAAATAAAATACTAATTAATCTAATATTCCATCACTAAAGTATATAGCTTTTTAAAATATGATAGTTGCTGGCGGTGATGGCTAACGGTAGTGTTTGTGAATGCCGACTAAAAGCGGTGGTTGGTGGTAGATTTAGTTGATGGTGGTAGTTTTGGGGTAGTAGCTAGTGGTGATTGATATTGGTAGCTATTATAATTGAGGATGGTGGTGGTGGGTGGTGATAGTTAATAATGGCGGGTGGTGGTGGTGGTAGTTGTGATTGAGGAAGATGGTGGTGGGTGGTGGTAGTTTATAATGGTGGGCAGTGCCAACTATGATTGTTGATGGTGATGTGGTGGTTAGTTGTGGTAGTTGAGGTGAATGAGTATTGATTGTCGTTGAGATTGATAGTGGTGGGGATGGTGGTAGTCGACAATGATGGCTGTTATGATTGAGGATGATGGTGGTGATGGGTGACATAGTGCTAGTTAATAATGGTAGGCGGTGACGGCAATTAATAATGAATATGAATGATAGCATCTTAATGAAATTAAGTCTCTGTTATAGATTTTAATAATACAGACCTATTCAGACCCATTAAGTAGTTGTGAAGTAAAAAAAACAAACACATGTAACGATTAAGATCTGAACAATTAAGATTCAGATTTTAAAAACAAACACACTTAATGTCTGAGATCTGAATGATTAAGATTCATACCTCCATTAAGTGCAAACAAATGAGGCCTAAACCACTTAATCATGATAAGTTGATATGATTTAATGTTAACAACGCGTGCGAGTAAGCATTTACCCACTTTCATCTTCTTTCTGAAGAAACCAGAAAACTTCATTGACTGTGGTAGAAAAGTATCTAAAATGATAGTCGGAAATATTCATAGAAAAATTGTTGGCGAAGTTAATTGTTTTAGACTCCATATGTAATATATAATCTAATATTTGTTTTCTTGGAATGCAGAAAGGATTGTCTGGATTTCAATTGCTATCCTGGTCTTGCTGTTTACGTTTCAAAGATTTGGAACTGACAAAGTTGGCTACACATTTGCACCAATAATTTGTGTGTGGTTGTCACTCATTGCTGGTATTGGAGTTTACAACCTGGTAAAGCATGATACAAGTGTTGTCAAAGCTATTGATCCTAAATACATCATAGACTACTTCAAGAGAAATAAAAAGGATGCTTGGATTTCTCTTGGCGGGGTTGTTCTTTCAGTTACAGGTATCATTTCCTTCACTTTAATTAATACTATTTGCAGAAAGAGTGTGATTAAATAAATAGTGAATGACGAATTGCAGGAACGGAGGCACTATTTGCAGACGTTGGTCATTTTACTGTTCAGTCTATACAAATAAGCATGTGCTGTGTCACATACCCAGCGCTCATATTAGCTTACACTGGTCAAGCCTCCTTTTTAAGGAAGAACGCAGATGACGTTTCTGATACTTTTTTCAAGTCTATACCTCGTAAGCATAACATCTATATGCATATAAATACTGTTGAATTTGACAAGATTAATGTGAACTAGTGTGAACATTTCAGCCTCCTTTTAGGAAGAAATTGGTAGATGCATTTTTCATGCATCTACATTGCATGATCACACTTAATATGATGTCATGCATGACATTATTAAGGCCATTTTCCTTCTATAAATAACAAGAGTTTTGTTCATTTGTAAACATCTCTCACTTGTCTTCTTATCTCCTAAGGCATCTGAATCTTCTTTCTCTATTGTAGTATTTCACTTGTATTTTTGGAGTGAAATAAAGTTTGAGTTTATTGTGTCCGAGAACTAGGCAAAAATTAAATTTTGACGAACCTCGTTAATTTCTGGTGTTCTTTTTATTATTGTCTCATTTACTATTTATTAGCTACCTTTAGATATAGTAGTTGTGATTTAATCACTCTCTATATATTTGGCTTCCGCAACAATTGGTATCAGAGCCAATGTTCTATATTAGTATGCTCTGTGGTTGTAGCATAGTCTGAACTTCCACATCAGAAAAGAATTACTTTGGTCTTTTGTACTGTCAGCAAATAAATAGTATCTGTAGCAAAAATAGGAGATAATAAAAATGAAGAGTCCACATCAGGTGTCAGTAATACGTCGTTGACATCTTCGCTTATGACAAGAATTATGTCAAATGCAAAATTTGCAGTTGAAATTTTCGACGGGTCAGGATATTTCGGGATGTGGCAAGCTGAGGTTCTTGATGTCCTTTTTCAACAAGGACTAGATATTGCCATAGAAGAAAAGAAACCAGACAATATCGGAGAAAGAGATTGGAAGATTATCAATCGCATTGCTTGTGGTACCATTCGATCTAACCTCGCAAGAGAACAAAAGTATCCATATACCAAAAAAACTTCTGCAAGTAAATTGTGGAATTCATTGGAGGATAAATTCTTGAAGAAAAACAGTCAAAATAAACTTTACATGAAAAAAAGACTGTTACGCTTCATATATATGTTCCTGGTACTACAATGAATGATCATATCACCAGCTTTAATAAGTTGGCGACAAATTTGCAGAATATGGATGTGACTTTTAGTGATGGCGATATGGCCTTAATGTTATTAAGTTCACTTTCCGATAAGTACGAGCACCTCAAAACTACTCTACTTCATCGAAATGATGAAGTGTCCCTTAAAGAAGTTTGTTCTGCCTTGTACAACTATGAACAAAGAAAGAGAGAAAAATAAAAGAGTGGAGAAGGAGAAGCACTGGTCGTGAGAGGTCGTTCTCAAAATCATATGAGAACGAAGAAAGGAAGATCCAAGTCAAGATCCAGACCCAGCAAAGATGAATGCGCCTTTTGCCGAGAAAAGGGGCACTGGAAGAAAGACTGTCCAAAGTTGAAAAACAAGGCCAAACCTAACAATGGGAAGCTGTCATGGATTCAAATGTAGCTGATTATGACGATTCTGATTTCTCACTAATTACAACTGAGCCATTAAACCATCCGACATATGGCTGATGGATTCAGCTTGTAGCTATCATATGTGTCCCAACAGGGACTAGTTAGTTGATTTTCAAGAAGGAGAATGTGGAGTTATTCACACCGCAAATAACAATCCTCTTACCGCATATGGTATTGGTTCAATCCGATTAAGGAACCATGATGGATTGATCAGAACATTAACAGATGTTTGATACGTACCAGAATTAAAGAAAAATCTCATTTCTATAGGAGCCCTAGAGTCAAAGGGGCTCAAAGTCGTTGCAGAAAATGGGGTAGTGAGAATATGCTCCGGTGCACTAGTGGTAATGAAGGGAATTCGGCGAAATAATAACATGTACCACTATCACGGAAGTACGGTTATTGGGACAACAACAGTGACATCTAGTGATGACAAGGAGGCAGAAGCAACCAAGCTATGGCACATGCGCTTGGGATATGCTGGAGGAAAATCCTTAAAAATTTTATCAGATCAAGGATTTTTAAAAGGAGTAAAGACATGCAATTTGGAGTTTTGTGAGTATTGTGTCAAGGAAAAACAGACAAGGGTTAAATTTGGAACAACAATCCATAATACTAAAGGTATTTTGGATTATGTTCACTCTGATATTTGGGGTGCTTCCAAAACACCTTCATTAGGTGGGAAACACTATTTTGTAACCTTTATTGATGACTTTTCCCGGAGAGTGTGGGTGTATACTACGAAAATCAAAGATGAGGTACTCAGAATCTTTCTCAAATAGAAGGCGATGATAGAGACTCAAACAAGCAAAAAGATAAAGTGTCTCCGCACAGAATACAAAAATAATCTTTACAATAAGATTTGTGAAGATGATGGTATTTTGAGACATTTCACCGTCAGAAATACACCACAACAGAATGGAGTGGCAAAACGCATGAACCAGTATTTGCTGAAAAAGGTTCGGTGTATGTTGTCCAATGTTGGCTTGGGCAAAGAATTTTGGGTTGAGGAAATAATATATGCATGCCACCTCATTAATCGTCTACCATCTTCTGCTATTGGAGGCAAGACACCATTTGAAAAATGGTATGAAAAACCTGCTGAAGATTATAATTTTTTGCATGTATTTGGCTCAATTTCATACTATCATGTGAAAGAGTCAATATTGGATCTGAGAGCAAAGAAGACTATATTTATATGGATTACTTCTGGAGTCAAAGGATACCGCTTATGATGTTCAGAGACAAGAAAAATTATATTCAGCAGAGATGTTACCTTTGATGAATCTTCCATAACAGATAAGGTGACAGTTGAAGATGCCAAACAAATTGATGGTGCTTCAAAGCAGGTGGAGTTTGAGGGAAAATTAATTTTCCCAATACATGGAGAAAACGAGGAAACAATGGAAGATTTTCCCGTGGAAGAAGAGTCAGTGGCAGGGGATATTCTAACCCAGGAACCCCAACAACAACTTGAATTAATAGCAACCAGCAAGCCAAAAAGAACAATAAAGAAACTTGTTCGTCTCATAGAGACGGTGGCTTGTGCAGCCTCAATTATAGTTGATAGTGTTCCTACCACTTATAAAGACACAGTCCAAAGTTTAGAAGAGGATAAGTGGAGGATTGCCATGAATGAAAAAATGCAGTCCCTTCATCAGAATCGTACATGGAAATTGGCCAATCTCCCGAAGGGCAAGAAAGCAATTGGGTGCAAATGGATATTTGCAAAGAAAGAAGGATTTCCTAACCAAGAAGATGTTCGCTACAAAGCAAGATTGGTAGCCAAAGGGTACGCTCAAAAGGAGGGAATTGATTACAATGAGGTATTTTCTCCGGTTGTGAAACACTCATCCATTGGAGTTTTGTTGGTTTTGGTAGCACAGTTGAATTTGGAACTAGTTCAGTTAGATGTAAAAACTACATTTTTACATGGAGACTTGGAAGAGAAAATCTATATGACTCAGCAGGAAGGATTCAAAGTTGCTGAAAAGGAAAATATGGTGTGCAAACTTGAAAAATCATTGTACGGATTGAAACAATCTTCTAGATAATGGTACAAACGATTTGACAAGTTTATGTTGCTGCAGAAGTACAAAAGAAGCAAATATGATCATTGTGTGTATTTGTGCAAGCTTGAAAACGGATCCTTCATATATCTTCTCCTATACGTTGATGATATGTTGATAGCTTCCAAAAGTCAAGAGGAAATTGAGAAGTTGAAGATTTAGCTAAGAAAGGAGTTTGAGATGAAGGATTTGGGTGAGGCGAAGAAAATTCTTGGCATGGAGATAAAAAGAGATAGACATTCAAAGAAACTCTATCTATCTCAGAAAGAATACTTGAAGAGAGTAATAGATCGATTTGGCATGAATGAGAACACGAAGTCGGTTAGCACTCCTCTTGCTCCTCACTTTAAGCTTAGTGCTGCTATGTCGCTGAAGAATGAAGCTGAACGAGAGTATATGTCAAGAGTGCCATATGCGAATCCCGTTGGTAGCTTGATGTATGCAATGGTTTTCACAAGACCTGATATTTCACATGCTATCGGAGTTGTAAACAGGTATATGCATGATCCAGAAAAGGAGCATTGACAAGCTGTGAAATGGATTCTACGGTATATTCGTAATACTGTAGATGTTGGATTGATTTTTGAGCAGGAAGATAGTCAGTATTTGGTTGGATATTGTGACTCGGATTATACGGGTGATTTGGACAAGCGTAGATCAACTACTGGTTATGTTTTCACTTTTGCAAATGCACCAGTTAGTTGGAAGTCTACTTTGCAGTCAACAGTTGCTTTGTCTACTATTGAGGCAGAGTACATGGCAATTATGGAGTCTGTAAAGGAGGCAATTTGGCTTCAAGGGTTGCTTAGAGAGCTTGGTATTGGTCAAGAAAGCATCACACTATTTTATGATAGTCAGAGTGCTATCCAATTAGCAAAGAACCAAGTTTATCATGCAAGGATGAAGCACATTGATGTTCGATATCACTTTATACGAGATATTATAGAAGAAGGTGGAGTCATGGTGCAGAAAATTCGGACTACAGACAACCTTGTTGATATGCTAACAAAAGTAGTGACTACGATCAAGTTTCAATATTGTTTGAACTTGATCAACATTATTGAACTTTGAAGATTGAAGTTAAAGACACAATCAAAATTTTTCATTGAGAGAAAATTGAAAAAAAATGAAATCTTGCCAAGGTGGAGATTTGTTGAATTTGACAAGATTAATGTGAACTAGTGTGAACATTTGAAGCCTCCTTTTAGGAAGAAATTGGTAGACGCATTTTTCATGCATTTACATTGCATGATCACACTTAATATGATGTCATGCATGACATTATTAAGGCCATTTCCCTTCTATAAATAGCAATAGTTTTGTTCATTTGTAAACATCTCTCACTTGCCTTATTATCTCCTAAGGCATTTGAATCTTCTTTCTCTCTTGTAGTATTTCACTTGTATTTTTGGAGTGAAATAAAGTTTGAGTTGATTGTGTCCGAGGACTAGGCAACAATCAAATTTTGACGAACCTCGTTAATTTCTGGTGTTCTTTTTATTATTGTCTCATTTACTATTTATTAGCTACCTTTAGATATAGTAGTTGTGATTTAATCACTCTCTATATATTCGGCTTCCGCAACAAATACTTAGGTTTTATGCTATATATGTTGCTAGCTCGGACTTTCCAAAACTATTGTTGCATCCATGTTAGATCCTCTAAAAACACATCCGACGCGCACCCGACAACATTGTTGAACAGTCTGAACAACATAGATTTTATGTCATCGTGAAGGGAAATGAATGAACATTTATGCTTTTTTTTCCTCATGTACAAATGTAGATGGCATATATTGGCCAATGTATGTAGTGGCAGTGTTTGCAGCTATCGTTGCAAGTCAAGCCATGATTTCTGGGACTTTCTCTATAATCCAGCAATCGCTCGCATTAGGATGCTTTCCTCGCGTTAAAATTGCGCATACATCAACCAAACATCAAGGGCAAGTCTATATCCCTGAAGTCAATTACCTTCTCATGTTGGCTTGTGTTGCTGTTACTCTCGGATTCAGGACTACTGCAAAAATTGGCAACGCTTATGGTAAGTTCATTTCTAGCTATTAATTCCCTCTCTTTCTTGAAGATATATCACACTGATGTTTGTTGGTGGTAATGTACATGTTTAATTTCACTAAATGAACATTACCTGATGTAATAGCAAAATCACAAAACTATTTTTGTCGCTTTAAAGTAAATGGACTAAATCAATTATCACGTAAAGTCACAGAATTTTACCAACGGAACAAATTTAGATTTGTGAGGATAAAATTCAGCAACCATAGGTGAAATTAATTTATTCTTAGGAAGAAACATATAATAACATGTCACAAAATTAAACGATTTGTGTTTCTCACTGTTTACAGGAATAGCAGTGGTGTTTGTGATGACATTAACATCATCCTTCCTCATACTAGTCATAATTATGATCTGGAAAACTCACATTCTTTTTATAATCGCATATGCTCTAATCATTGGAACGGTTGAGCTTGTGTACCTAAGTTCTGTCCTTTACAAGTTTGATCAAGGCGGCTATCTTCCACTGGCTTTTGCTATGTTCCTAATGTTTATCATGTCAGTATGGAATTATATGTATCGAAAGAAATACTACTTCGAGTTAGATCACAAGATTTCTCCTGAGAAAGTTAAGGCAATAGTGGACGAAACAAGTTTCAATCGACTACCCGGACTTGCTATTTTCTATTCAGAACTTGTTCATGGAATTCCACCAATTTTCAAGCATTATGTAGCGAATGTGCCGTGTTTACACTCTGTTCTTGTGTTTGTTTCATTCAAATCACTTCCCATCAGCAAAATTCCAGTAGAAGAAAGATTCCTCTTCTGTTGGGTACAGCCATCTGATCTCTACGTGTTTCGCTGTGTGGTACGTTATGGATACAATGATGTGCGTAACGAGCAAGAGGACTTCGAGAAAATATTGGTGGAGAGGCTCAAAGAGTTCATACGAGAATATTGCTTGTTTTCAATTGCAATAAAAAGTCACAGACTATCCACTGAAAAAATCAAACAATTAGAGGATGATTTATGCATTAACGTTGGTTCAATGAAGTCCGAGGAGGAAGATTCAATTGGAAAACAAGTCGAAAAAGAAGAGAATTTTGCTACATTAGTGGAAAAAGAAATAGAAGTACTAGAGAGAGCAAAGAAAGTGATAATAAATTATGCTTACAACTTCTTGAAGAAGAACCTCAGGCAAAGTAACAAGATTTTTGACATCCCTCACAAGCGTATGCTAAAAGTTGGAATGATATATGAGCTTTAAGTTATAATAACTGTATTTATCTGTCTAGAATAATTGTCCTGGAGTTTGGTGATTCTATGAAAGAATAAGGGGTAGCCCATTTTTTGATGAAAAAATGGTGTTCTACGAAAAAAGAAGAAGGAATTTTTATAGCTATGCTTTTTTATAGACTTAATTACCACTTTTATAGAGATTCTTTTTTAATAACATATCATATTTATATTTATAATTTGTATACAAATCTATAATAACATTGGATCTAATACTAGAAAATCGCATTTTTTCAACCACCAAAATCGCTAGAAAGTAGTCGAAAAATTAGATTTCTGATGCGTTCCGACCAAAACTAGTAGTCGAAACAATAAACGTCGGAAAAGTAGTCGGACTTCCGACTACATTTATTCTGTAGACGGAAATAAGAAAATTTCTGACTTCAGACTAGTAGTGATCCCTTTAAGTATAGGCAATTAAATGGGTAACCCACGCCTAAGAGCTAAACCCCTCTGACTCACGTTCTGATCTGACCTTCTGTTCCTCTTCAAAACCCCGTTTTCTCTCTCTAAAATCATGAAAATTCTACTGCCGATTTCTGAATCATCATATCCCACACAATAATACAATCATTTTAATTTTTAATGAATTACCAAATATATAAGTGTATACGGTTAAAACCGAATTTGTCCTTCGTGTGACTAATCAAGATTAGAGCATGATGGACATAAGTTCATCATTATAATATCGAGCGGTGACGTGAAGTTGGGTTGTCGAGTTCGAGACCGATCAATACCGAGATCGAGCTCGAAAATCCGAGACCGATCAATATCAAGACCGGCCAAGATCGAGACCGAGTCAAGATCGAACTCAAGACCCCGAGATCGATACCGAGACCGGCCAAGATTGAGACCGAGTCAAGGAGCAAAAAGCCGTTATAGCCGCATTTGGGGAGAGAATCCCGGCGGAAATCACACCTTGAATCAAGGAAAAGCTAATTAATTAATCTATCATGAGATCCCCACTATATATTTTTAATTATATCCAAAGTAGGATTCCCCCACTATATGANGTTCTCTTATCAATCACTCTCTATCTAATTTGGGTTTGTATTCATTCTTTTTACAGTCAAAATTCGATATATCTTTACTTATTTTTTCAATTTGTACCAAGTTATACCACGTATCCTTAGATTTACGTATAAATTCAACTCTATCCGTTTTTTGGGTAAACAGTTTGGCGCCCACCGTGGGGCTAAGGATAATAGTGATTATTTGGTACAAATCTCTGAAAAACACACTATTTTATACTTACTCTTGGAAGTGTCTTTGATTTCAGGTTAAAAACGGCGAACTCTCAATTAATGGCCCTACCTATCGACAACGAAGTTGGCCTTTAAGATGAGAATAATAACCTGACGCCCGGGGATGAAAGGTCACTCTTCGACCCCGTTGGAACTCGGGCCGTAGATCCAATCGACATTAATTCACATGTGGCCATTGAGGCGAGCTAACGTTCCGACCCCGGTGGAGATTCACTGAAATTTACATAACATCTAGCTAATATTATCCTCTTTAGACTTTGATATTGATTCATCTTGTTCTCTTATCAATCACTCTCTATCTAATTTGGGTTTGTATTCATTCTTTTTACAGTCAAAATTCGATATATCTTTACTTATTTTTTTAATTTGTACCAAGTTATACCACGTATCCTTAGATTTACGTATAAATTCAACTCTATCCGTTTTTTGGGTAAACAGTTTGGCGCCCACCGTGGGGCTAAGAATAATAGTGATTATTTGGTACAAATCTCTGAAAAATACACTATTTTGCACTTACTCTTGGAAGTGTCTCTGATTTCAGGTTAAAAACGGCAAACTCTCAATTAATGGCCCTACCTATCGACAACGAAACTGGCCTTCAAGATGAGAATAATAACCTGACGCCCGGGGATGAAAGGTCACTCTTCGACCCCGTTGGAACTCGGGCCGTAGATCAAATCGACGTTAATTCACATGTGGCCATTGAGGCGAACCAACGTTCCGACCCCGAAAATAACATTCATGGCGAAACTCGATCTATTGTTCGAAATACCCAAAATGTTGGAGAAGACGGGATCAGCCTGCGTATGATTTTTGAAATGTTGCAAACTCAACATGTAGCGATAACTCAGTTGCAGAGCCAAACCCAGGCACCGAGCAGGGCCGAGCCCAGTCCACCCCGAGAAGTCATCCACAAAATGGGGCCAGCTGTAGTAAAATAAAATGAACATGAATCGGGGACTAATCCTGAAATTTGGATGCTCGAGGAACTGACAAAATGAATTGAGTCAAGAGAAAAGAGGATTGAAGCAAACGACAAAAAGTAGAAACTTATAACTCCAAGGTTGATCAAATCCCGGAGGCACCACCAATATTGAAGGGATTGGATTCCAAATAATTCGTACAAAAGCCCTTCCCCCCGAGTGCAGCTCCCAAACCAATCCCCAAGAAGTTTCGCATGCCTGAAATTCCTAAATATAATGGAACGACCGGCCCAAACGAACATGTCACCTCTTACACATGTGCCATTAAAGGGAACGATCTAGAAAATGACAAGATCAAATCCGTATTATTAAACAAGTTCGGGGAAACCCTGTCAAAGGGAGCAATGATATGGTATCATAATTTACCGCCTAGATCGATTGATTCTTTTGCTATCCTTGCAGATTCTTTCGTAAAAGCACATGCTGGAGCCATAAAGGCCGAAACCAGGAAGTCGGACCTTTTCAAGGTAAGGCAAAAAGATAACGAGATGCTAAGAGAGTTCGTATCTCTTTTCCAAATGGAACGATAGATCTACCACCGGTCACGGACGATTGGGCCATTCAAGCTTTCACCCAAGGACTGAACGAACGAAGATCGATGGCTTCATGACAGTTGAAGCAAAACTTGATCGAGTACCCGGCTGTTACCTGGGACGATGTACACAATCGATATCAATCGAAGATTAGGGTCGAAGATGACCAGCTGGGTTCTGGGTCCATTATTAAAAGGGACATCGATCGAGAACCAAGGTCGAATAGGGACTGATACCGGCCGTATAACGGAGATCGTAGGGGTAGCGAACCAGGACACAACTCCGTACGAGGCAAAAGGAGAAGTGATCGAGGCCAAGGGTCTCGAGGGCTGATGAACAAAAATAGGTTCGACAGGCATACCGGGCCTAAGGAGGCACCGCGGTTATCAGAATATAACTTCAACATTGATGCATCCGCCATTGTGTCGGCTATCGGACGCATCAAAGATACTAAATGGTCTCGACCTCTACAGTCCGATCCAGCCCAGAGAAATCCCAATCAAATGTGCAAGTATCATGGCACCCATGACCACAGAACGGAAGATTGCAGGCAGTTGAGAGAGGAGGTAGCCTGGATATTCAATGAAGGGCATCTTCGAGAGTTTTTAAGTGACCGAGCTAAGAACCATTTCAAAAACAGAGAATTCAATAGACAAAACGAACAAGAAGAGCCACAACACATCATCCACATGATCATCGGAGGGATCGATGTCCCCCAGGGGCCGGTGCTTAAATGCACTAAGATGTCGATTATAAGAGAGAAGTGATCTCAAACTCAGGATTACATACCTAAAGGAACCTTGTCCTTTAGTGACGAAGACGCGGAAGGAATCATGCAGTCCCATAACGATGCACTGATTATATCTATACTTATGAATAAAACTCAAGTAAACGTGTGTTAATCGATCCAGGTAGTTCGGCCAACATCATCCGATCAAAGGTCGTAGAGCAACTCGGTCTACAGGATCAGGTCGTGCCAGCAACCCTAGTACTAAACTGATTCAATATGGCGTGCGAAACTACTAAGGGCAAGATAATTTTGCCAGTAAACGTAGCCGGGACCATCCAAGAAATGAAGTTCTACATGATTGACGTGGATCCACAACATGATAGCAGTACCCTCGACCCTTCACCAGGTTCTAAAATTCCCAACACCAAAGGGAATCAAAACGGTCTACGGGGAGCAACCGGCCGCAAAGGAAATGTTCGCCATCGATGAAATGATTCCGATATCATCACTATCATCGATAGAGGGATCAGGTTCGAAGGAGAAACGGGATACCAAATAGCAATCACAAATGTCAGCCTCGACCCAACTAGGGAAGCAGAAGACTGACGAAGATGATGATTATGGGATCCCTCGATCTTTCATGGTCCCCTATGATTCCGACGCTACTAAATCAACGGTCGAAGAACTGGAGCAAATCACGCTAATCAAACATTTGCCCGAGCGAAAGGTATACCTGGGCACGAGGTTAAATCCCGAGCTCAGGAAAAAGCTTATTCAATTTCTTATAGCTAATATGAACTATTTCTCTTGGTCCCATCTTGACATGATAGGGATCCTACCGGAAATAATCACTCATAGACTAAGCTTGGATCCGAAATTCCATCCGGTAAAGCAAAAAAGAAGGCCCCAGTCCGAGGTCAAACATGCATTCATCAAGGACGAGGTAACCAAACTTCTTAAAATAGGATCCATTTGAGAAGTAAAATACCCCAAATGGCTAGCAAACGTGGTGGTAGTCCCTAATAAGGGAAATAAACTTAGAATGTGTATAGATTATAAAGACCTGAATAAAGCATGCCCTAAGGACTCTTTTCCTTTACTTAATTTTGATCGTATGATCGATGCCACAACCGACCACGAGACTCTCAGTTTTCTCGATGCCTACTCCGGGTACAACTAGATACAGATGAACCTGAAGGACCAGGAAAAGACCTCGTTTATCACTAAGTACAGTACCTACTATTATAACGTAATGCCATTCGGTCTAAAAAATGATGGTGCAACTTATCAACGCCTAGTAAAACGAATGTTTGAAAAACAAATAGGAAAATCAATGGAAGTTTATATTGATGACATGTTAGTTAAGTCCCAACGAGCAGAGGACCATTTAAAGCATTTGCAGGAAACTTTCGATATACTGGGGGAGTATAATATGAAACTCAACCCTGAAAAATGTGCATTCGAAGTTGGCTCGTGAAAGTTTCTTGGTTTCATGGTGTCCAATCAGGAAATCGAGATCAACCCCGATAAAATCAAAGCTATCG